GCTAATATTACGCAAGTTATTAAAATTTTAAGATTTCGGATATTTTAGTGGGAAAATGCCCCTATTACCTTGGCTTTATTTACCATTGGTTGTTTGTCGCCTTGGTGGTAATAATGCTAGATCTTTAGCTTCTATTTTTCATCATATGATTTTAAAAAACCTTGGATTAAGCCACCAATGTACTTAGAATTGCGGTTTGCAAAAGTTTTAGAAGATGATCTAAAAATAGAATAACTGATGACTTTGGATTGCATGATTTGCTATTACAAAATAGCAATTTTCTTAGAGAATTCGAACAATTCTGTACAGAAGATAATTCATTTATATATAATTTTCCAGATTTATATAATTTCGTTAAGACTCGGATTTATTTTATTATTATTCACCAACAGCAAGTAGAAGGCCTTTTTAATAAATTAGACCTAAAAACGCATCCCAACATGTCAATATCAATGAAACAATCTAAAATTCAATTATCCAAAAATAAAATTGCCAAAGAAGAATTACTCGGATGGATTAAAAGAAATAAGAGCAAAAAGAAATGCATTAAAAAAAATTCCACTCAAAGAAATTCAATTGCAACAATTCGGATCTGACGCTGCTTCAAATATTTTTCATGAATTATTACTTTAAATATGCTGTATATTTTTAATAAAATATTATGTAATTTACCCTTATTAAAACCAAATCAAAGATCTACACGAAAAAGTATAAAAAAATTTCAATAATAAACTTTTATATGATACCATATATAGTTTTGATTTAATTAGTTGACTGACCACCCCAACGAGGCCTGCATAATCCAAATTTTGAAGCTTGGCCCTATCAATAATTTCATAAAATACAGAAAAACTTCACTTTTTCAATTCTCCTTTATTAAATTTAAAACAACTTGCTCAACAACTTGACATTTTATTTTTTTTAAAAAAAAAAAATAATGTAACACGCGTCAAAATTAAAAATGATCGACAACAATGTAAATTAACATTGTTTATTAAAAAAATTTTTTAATGTTACGATTTTTACCAAGTGCATTTCAAGAATTTTTATTATTTTACAAAAATTAATAAAAATCAAAATTCAAGATGACAATAATTCAAATGAGTGGATTAATTGGATGGAGGAATATATTTTAAGAAAAAATATCAAAAGCTATGAATTCGAACATTTTAACAATGTTAAAGAGCTCGGTACTAGCAACTTTGGAAAAGTCTATCATGCAAAATCCTTTCATAACCTTAACAACGCCACTGTTAAAGAAACAGATCGTGAGGTAATTACAAATTATAAAATATATTTCGGTCTATTTCAGTCTTTTTAATATAAATCATTTACATATATATCACACTAAATTTATTATCAGCTCGAACTTCAAAGTGAAGTCGATTTTCATGATAATATTATTCGCTTTGTATGGGATAACTTCAGAAAAAAATATGTAATGTTCATAAGAAATATTATTATAGATATACAGTATATTGATATTTTTATTTTTATTTGTTATTTGTTATTTTTAACTCGATTATTAATATTTAAAAATTTTTAAAAAAAAAACTTAGAAAATGATGTTAATTTGAAAAGGTTTTGGTTAGTAATGGAATATGCTGATGGCGATTACCTTAGAAACCATTTGAAGAAGAATTTTGATAGGCTTACTTGGGATGATAAATACAACTATGCATTCCTGTTTGCTAGTGCTGCGTCTTGTCTACATGAAGAAGGAATTGTACATCGTGATTTGTTAAACGGTAATCTTACATAATAATATAGTTTATTTGATTATTATGAAACTTTTGTTAAATAATATTTAATTTATATATAATGACATTCTGATAATATATTAATTCGTCATGTAATATTAAACTGGATTATCGAAAAGAATCGAAGCGGTATCTAAACACAGTCAAAAGTCTTGGTGTAAATTCCTTATATTGATCCTAAAAGATTTGGTAGACGAAATAGAAATTCTAATATATCGAAGCAAGATATTCTAACTGAGAAGAGCGATGTTTATAGTGTTGGCGTGTTGCTATGGGAGATATCAAGCGGTAATCCTCCTTTTTATGTTGAAGGTGAACCATTCGACATTGATTTAGCTATAGATATTTCACAAGAACTCAGAGAAAGTATCATTCCGGTGTTGCAAGAGATCAGTAATCACGAATGGCGCAGTAGCTGCGTGAAAATATTAAAAATATTGAAAGTATCTATAATGCATTTATATCAATTATATATGTTAATATAATTATTCTAGTTTTCGTATTTACATTTGTTTTATTATATATATTTATTAAATTTCTTATAATTGTTATTTTTATATATTTGATATATTTATTTTATTTATTTTAAATTAGTATTTATAAATTTAGTATATAAACCCCGAAAATCCGCTTTGTTAAAAGAAGAAGGTTGAAAATTCTTGAGAAGAGACGTCCGAAATCTTGAGTTAATAAATTTCCAAGTTACACTTTCAAACTTTATCGTGTCTCCATATAGACTGACTAATAACTAACTACACAAAGAATTGTATAAAGTAAATAGTTGTATAATCTTTCTTAGGACGGGCCTCAGCTAGATTTAATCGTTGTTTGGTTAGCCTGGTTTCGGTTTAAATTCGGTTAACACCGGATACGCCTGAAGATTATGTAAAGATTTATACTGGTAAACACTATTATAAATTATAAATTTAAGTTTAAAATTTAATGTTTTCGATCACTAAATTGTTTAAATGTTTTTAGAGTGCTGAGACAATGAGCCTGACATACGTCCGTCTATGAACAAAGTAGAATAAATAATCAAACCTTCAATTATCAGAACCATTTTATTCTAGTATTAATAATTCATTACATGGTGAATTATTTCTAATGAACATAATTTTAATAAGATGAATGCAGAAGAATTACAATCTAATAATGAAACATTAGTCATCATTTACGATGATACTATTAAAAGAATTAACGATTACGGATATTAATAAGGATATATTAAAAGCCTAGGAAGATTGCCAAAGATATCGGAAATTAAAAGTTTTCGACTGTAATAATTCTCAGATAACCAGCTTACCGACATTACCCAATTCCTTAATGGAACTTTATTTAACAGAAGTTAATATAGCATTAAATATAGTATATTGTTCACTTCAAAAACTTGTTTTTAATGGAAAAAATTTTCAAATTACATGTGATAAATATAATTTATTAGAAAGTAATAAGGTAATTTTATTTAATGATGAAATGAATTAAAAGTGGTATGATTTTAGTACATTTTTACAGATCATTTTAAACCAATTTCTAATATAATGCAATATCATCATTTTCAATTTAATAATTTACCTGAAGATATAAGTAAAATATATATTTAAAAATATTTAACAGAATAGAAACTCCTTTCCAATTATTAAAAAGTAATAATTTTGACAAAAATGATAAACTTAATATAATTCCACTTGTATTATTAACAAATAAAAACAAAATATTTATATTCAAAATTCGTTATTATGTAAATAATCCATTTAAAGATATTTATTTGTGCAAATTCTATAGAAGATTAAAATATATTATTATTTTTTTTTAATATATAAAAAAATAATATTCAAAATTTTTTTTGAAAGATATGAATACTTTTCAGACCCCTCATAATCTTATTCTTATTTTTTACTAAAAATATAAATAATTAATTAATAATTTTATTTATTTTATTTTACTTTTAAAATTAATAATTAATAAAATCTTAAATTTTAAATTATATATAATTATTTATTAATATTTTTTAAAAGTAATGATATAATATTTTTGCAACTAATAATCATAAAATGCAATATTTAGTTTATTAAATTTCTCTTATAAATATGAATTTAATAATAATATATTATATTTTCAATATTAATAAATAATAAAATAATAATATATTTTTTAAAAATATAACTACTTTACTATTCGATTTATTTATTTTAATGAAAGGATTTAAATTTAATCTTTTTATAATCATTAAATAACAAGTTATTTTATTCATCATATAATGTTAATATAGGAAGATGCTAGGATAATCAACTTCTGAGGATTTTTTAACAAAATTTTGATTTTATTACATTTTAGTTTTTGATGTTATTAGATTAAAATATAATAAGATCTTAATTATAGTCAAAAAATCCAGAGCCTGATTTCTTAGCGAACTTCCTATATGATATAACGAAATAATATCTTTTCCATAACATTGAAACTTTTAAGTCTTTATTATACTTGTTTTATTTTTTTATTGTTATTAATAAATATATTTTATATAATCTAAATAGAGGCAATTTATTTTTAAATAAATTAATGAAACAATAAATATTCGTATTGCTAATTGTTTAGTTTTATTTATTATAATATGTTATTTTTTCAATTGTTGATTATCTTTACTTAATTATTATTCCAAGTTTTTACCACATATTATATTAATAAATTCCATAATTTGTCTAGATCAAAATTATTTCCAATTTTCATCGGGCTAATCGTAATTCAAATTTGATCCGGCTAATTATTGTCCAAAATTTGATCAATTCAATATGAACACCCTTCGCCTCGGTAGGCCTGGGCTATGTTAAGTTTGACTGACATGATAGGTTAGGCTAACGTTAACAGAAGATTAGTTTTTTGACCGATTTCCTTTTTAGGATGACGATCCCCCATATTTCGCATTGATCTGCTGATTCTTCAAATCAAGCCTTTCCATTAAACTAGGGAACGGTTTCGGAAACCGTTGTTAAGTCCGGGAGCACAAATGTAACGAAAAGGACCAACCACGTATCGACTCAAATTTGAGCGGGCGGACAAACAGAAACCGGGCAAAGACATATAGTCCTTCGCTTACGCTTCGGACTAATTAATAGTGTCGATCAACAAATCTTTTAGTGTTTTATTAGATTCTTTATTTAAAACGTATGTGATAATATATAAAATAATACATAAAGAAATATAAGAAAAGTTACCGAGCATTCGACTATTAACAGTTCACACACTTTAAATATTCAATTCAAAAGTAGATTCCTGATAAATTTTATCACTCGTTTTATTTTTGGCAGTAGCTTTGATTTCCATTTTGCCGAAGGTAAACGCAAATTCAATAGGACGGTTTAAACCCAAATATTTATCATTTGTTTTGATTTTTAGGGTCCCAAATAATTTCATTCCTGGATCATTACAAAACTTTGCATCGTGTCTTTTTGTATAATAAATGCAGAAGTTTAAAATTTCTTGATCTTGTCTTGAAGGATAAAATTCTCCCCAAAATTTTTGATCAACATTAGCCTTTGCACCACGTTGCGCCAATTTATGGAAA